AAGCTGGTGTCAAAGGAAGGGAGAGATACTGCAGTGCAGTGCTGATCTTTTCTGCAATCAGACGTGCAGACTAGTCCAAACCCTGAGTCAGCACAATTTCTTTTTTGATTGGTTGATCTGAGTAACATACTTGCAATTTATGTTAAAGTGGCAAGCAATTAATACATGCCCTCCCTTCCCTGTCTTGCAAAAAAAAAGCCCTTTGAATCAAATGCACAAATCTCGTCTCCAAAGTCACACTCTGGTCCTAAATATTCTAAGTCTCTTTCATTTTTAATTTAGGGCATTAAAAAAAAAAATTTGCAATCCAAGCGATGCTCACTTTGATCGACTTGTGCTGCAGCAGCTAAAATATCTGTCCTGCAGGTCAATCTAATCATGCTTAATAGCAGTTTATTCTTCAACGCAACATTTTTCACATTGGGTCGACAGTTTTAAATGAGATTGCTGATGCACCCCTTTACTAATGCTTTTACCAGGGCTAGCACATGCTTTGAAATACTTGTGCAATAAAATGCTTTATTGCGCTTGATGAAAGCACTATTAAACTTGAATTGCAAACAGACTTTTTTAGCAGGGTGTACTGAAATTTATTTGTCCACCTGTTCTATGTATGTAAAATAATAATAATAAAAATATCTTGCCAACAACATGAACAACAAAACCTCGACACCCTCAGTGACAACTGTACATCACTAATCCTTGTGCTCTCTGAAATGTGTGCAAAATAGCCATTTTAATACCCCGGGAAGGTTTCACTTACATGCAGAAAATTCATTTCTAAAACGGCTGGATTTTGTGAGGAGTAGTATAGGAAATTTTTCACTAATTTGGTCTACTGGATTTACAGTTTTTATAGTTCTCAAAGCTACTGTTTCCACAACTGGCATTTCACAAGCTCAATTGGCCATTTGCATGACAACACTCAAATTTCCCAACGTATTCCAATGGAACTCTTTGCCATGCCTGACCTGCGGAGGGAACATACGTAGTTGGGCTGCAGAAACGGGAACAAATCCCTCTTGAATTTTCCTTCCAGTGGCTGAGTTCTGCAAGGATGGGGCCAGTTACCATTTTAATTAAGGAAAGAACTATCAACCAGGTAGTGAAGTAGCCTGATTTTTTTTAAGAGGACCTAGGACCCAATCTGTCTCCTGTTGAAGCTGACGGATGGTCCCCTTTTCCTTTAACTTGGATGGGAAGAGGGCCAGAGCTCACCTTTTGAAGTTCATTCCATACCATATGCTTTTATTCCTCATCCTAGAAGGTTTCTCCATGAGGCTACCTTAAGAAACAGAGACCTGAGCATCACAGAATCATAGGGTTAGAAGGGACCACAAAGTTCCTCTGCATTGTTACAGGGAAGCGAGTGGGGACAAGAGGAAACTGTAATGAATGTCAGCAAAGCTATGCTCCAGACTTGGGCACCTAGCAGAGCTACAGAGGAAGGCCACATCACTGTATGAGGCTCCAGAAAGCATATCCCCCACCATGCCTTTATTCTCCTCCTCCTTCATTTTCCTCCTGCCAGTATATTAAAATACCACAAAGGCATCCCTTAAAATTACAGCGTGCAAAATATTTACATAAATCTGAATGCATAGCAACTCCCTAATATGAGTAATTCCATTGGATTCAAAAGCATAATAATTTAGGAGCGAGGGGGGGGGGGAGTTGCTAAAAGTGGCATTAGGAAAGCAGGTACCTACTGTAAATCAAAACCAATGTCTCTAAGCATGAGCAGCGCTAAACATTGGAAAAGATTCAGTGACACCTGAGCTGGGAGGAAAATGTTAGCAACAAAAAGGGAAAAAATTGTTTTCTATCTATGACACAGAGAATCTCTCATTTTTTAATTCAGGGGATCAGGCTAATGTAGGTGATTTACAATAAGGGGAAGTTGCAACCAAGCCTATGAACTGTCTGTCATTTTATTGCTCCATTAAATCTATTTTCAAAACACTAGTGCTTTCATCTGAACATGAAGCACAGTTCTAGCTGCCCCTGTCCCAGAATATTAGAAGGACAAGGTGGGTGATGTGACATCTTTTATTGGACCCACTTCTGCGGGTCCAATAAAAGATATTACCCCGCTCCCTTTTTCTCTTTATTTGATGAACACTACTTCTTGCCATAATACTTTAATGTCAAACAAGGACTATGTCTGGGGAAGGAGCGGCTGCCTCCGGGAGATGGCTTAGCGGGTTTGGATGTCTTCCCTGTGTAATTCCACCAGTGGCCGCTGCCTTCATTGGTGGAATTGCAGACTAGGCACATTTTGTTAGGACTTTCCTTCCCTGCTTACCAAATGATCTGGTGTTTCGGGCAGGATGAGTTCCGCCCTCCATCTACCGCAACAAGGGAAATATTTTTTTTAAATATCAATGATTAATCAGTGTGGGGGCCCCAGCAGCTGAAAAAGCTCAGATGAGCCTAGCTAAATGCATACCAGCAGGTGAAGACTATGAGTCACTTCACTCCTCCCCATCCAGGGAACCTGTCAATCATGCCGAAAGGTCATCCCTTTCGGCAGAAAAACCGTAACAGTTTATTGTGGCGGCTTGCACCTGTTGTCGGCTCCCAAGGGCCTGTCATGAGTGGGATTCTCCTAAAGAGCAAAGATCATATGATTTAAAAAAAAAACCTACCCAAGCCAGAAGGACCACGCCCCCTTGAATTATAACAGGTGCTCTTTCTGGTCCCTTGCATGTATCTCAGCTCTACTCAGTGGTACTAGAGTTAGCTCAGTTTCACTTTCATTCAGTGCAAAGTCTTTTTTTAAATGCAGCTTAGTAAATAAAAAGATTTTCACTCGGCCTAGTCAGCTTCAGCTAAACCCTTTCTGCCTTTCTATAGCATTTACTTTAAAATATCTACTGAATACTATATGGCATAAAACCTCAGTGGTATTCAGCCTGCCTTTTCTAACCAGCTATTCATGAGCTCCTGCTTATAGTTAAATCCCCTTTGGCATACATGTAACCAGTGACAATGGGGCTTGTCATGAATAGAGGGGAATAAGGACTTTCTCAAAATCCAAATTCAGTAGCTTGCTTACTCTCCTGAGCCATTAGAACAAGTGAAGCTCTACTAGTCTCCAAAACCAAATGTCTTGTTGGTTGTTTAACCAGCCCAAGCAATGGACAGCAAGTTGCCAGGACTCAATTGAACAAGATATTAGCACTGAAGCAAATAATAAGCAGTATTAACCAAGAGGCAAGACATTCTATTAAAGCAAAATGTTTCAGGTTAATTTCCAGTAACACCATTAGTTGAGATCAGGTTAACTTGGGCACAGAGGGAGAGGGGGGCAGAAGGTGAGAAAAAACACTTTTGATGAAGTTTAAAACAAAAAACAATCTGTGTTAAGCTCTTTTGTGGGGAGGCGGGTTGGTTTTGGAAGAGTAAGACACTCTCTCTAAACAAATAAGGGATTACTTCAACATTTGTCCTGCATCCAACATATAACGTTATTTTCTTTCATCCGGATTCACTTCTTAAACCATAATTCCAGAAGAGCAGAAACATAACCAAGTGTATTTTGTTGTACAATGTACAAAAATGTTTAAAAGCCTCATAAGACTTCTCAAATTCAAGCTTGCTAATTTTATTGTTCTTTCAGGGAAAATACATATATGTATTTTGGATTCCTTGTGCTTTAGACATGTTTAAATTGTTTTGATGACTGTTAATAGAATTTATCTCACTGCTTTTAACCATGAGAACTTTTTAAGATGGGAAAGGTTCAAAAAGCTTAAGTTTGTACATTCATTTAAAGCTAAAATACTGCACAGCTAAGGCAGAATCATTGTATTCTCTCTCTGTCTCTACCCCCGCCCCTTCATACTCCATTCTCCTATTTAATCCCTTTCCGTTCTCAATTTAAAGCTCATTCTGCTTTGTTGGCATCTCATCTACTTTTTGGGGGGAGGTAGAACAAACAAACAAAAAAGAACAAGAGCAATTGGCCTCTACCCTTGTTAAAAACACAAGTGGACAGCAAGCTTTCTTCTGGCATTGCCTTTCAAAGCCCATGCCGCAGTCAGCATATTGAATATTTAATGTCCTGATGAGCATTTCCACCTGCTGACACAGGCAAAGTGACAGAACAATACACGCACTGGAACAAGATCATCAATTGACTCCCTGGTCAGTCTGCCATGTCAGGCATTTAAACAAATTTCTGTCTGTCCTTCTCTCCCCCCCTCCCCCTTTTTTTTGAAAACATTGGATCACACATTGTTCCATTGAGAATGATCCCCACCTGAAATACATACTTCTTTACATTCCATAGCTTGCCAGGTTCATATGGGCATATAAAGAAGTATGTTTCTCAAGCAGGTAGTTTCAATATGTGCATTTATGTGTTCACAGGAGAAAATAGTGCTGATTCAGAATTCACATCCCAAGAGTGCTCAGTTAAGGCTGAATTTAAAATAGCAGAGTTTCTCTTTCCTCCAGCCCCTATACAGCAACACACACACACACTTTTCCCCACTTCAGACTAATCTCCAATAATCCACAGCTGTTCCTCTGTAGGTGTCTGATTTTTGTCACCGAGACCAGAAATGGACACTACGTTGGACAAAAAACTCCGAGCAATCTGGCCATTTGCCCTGAGAGTGCTTCTTTTTCACAAAAATGGGGAGGGGGAGTTTGTGAAAGAAAATAAAATCCCATTCAGTTCACCTGAAAAGTAGATATTTCATTTGAAATCCGAAACTTTCAGTAATAAAAAAATCAGACAATTACCCAGCTCTTACTGGAGGGATTTCTTTTCTCCCCCCGCCACCCCCCAAGCTATTAGGAAAAAAGAGATTCCAGTGCTGTTCTCAAATTTGGGGTACACATCACCTCAAAAAAATCAACGGTCTGGCAAAAAATCAACACCAAGCTTGCCCGATCCATTTGTCAGGGTTAGCAAAGTCATCAGTTACAGACAAAGATTTGCTTTTGTCAATTAGTTGGGGTTAAAGCAGAAGAAAATGAAATGATCTTACCTGGAGAGTCCAGAGATTTTTCCTTTGTAGGTCATTGTACGTGAAACACTGCCTTGCAGATGCGAAACCCGAAAAGAATGGACATGCCTTTTTGGGGGTTTGGGATTTGGGATTTTTTAAATTATTTTTAAATGTCATCCAGTTGAACTCCATGACAGCTGAGGATGCCTGTGCCATACCTGCAGATATGCAAAATAAAAAACAGAACGGGGCAGCCAAAGCTAGTTGCCAGGAAGCACAGGCCGGAGTGGAAGTCTGCGAGTTACTCCTCAAGCACTCCTCTGCAGGTGGGTGGGGTGCATGTGTGTGTGTACAGCTCTTTCTCCAGTTTGCATTAGTCAGTCAGCCTCTTTTTTTTTTCCTTTCTCTCTCTCTCTCTCTTCTCCCTCGTTGCCTCACAGCCGCTGTGAGCTTTAAAGCTCCCTGAACAATGTGGTCCGAGTGGCACTGCTGAAAATGATGATTGTACTGAATACGAGACTATTATAGGCAGGCTTTAGGCATCAAGCAAACCAGGAGGTCACACGGGGCGCTTAATGCTCATTCAGCATTGCTGTAATGGTATGCTTAGCTTGTCCACTCACCTGCTTCGTTTGCCTGCTACCCCTAACCCGAGCCTGCAGATCAATACCAATTTACAGGCAAATGTAGAATGGCTGCCTGAGTGTTAATGAATTTTACCGTTTCTCACAGTCTTCTAATGAACCCTTTAAAGAGGGTTTAAGTAAACTTAGCAAGTGGCAAACTAAGCACTTTGGAATACTTAATTGTATCGATATTTTCCCACTGCTTTTCAGAATATAGCTGCAAACTGGGAAGTAAATATTTCCCAGTTCCCCGTCAACTTCCGTCGCCACCCAAAAGAAACAGAGAAGAAGTCCCACTATGTCAGTGTTTCTGCAGGTTAATGACTATGAAGCCCTGAAAGTGGTTTTACTCCTGTTGTGTTTCACTGCTCACATGCTTTAGCCCTGGTTTGGTTCTACCTCTTTTTTGATTGCTTTTGGTTGGTTTGGGTGATTTTATCACTTACTGTTATTTGTCTAATTTAAAGCCAGATTTCAACCTTTGGGGACTAAAGAGAAGAGATGTGGACCTGTGATACTATGCGAGTGCATGGAAGCAGTAAAAATTAAGTCAGGAGAGAGAATGGTTTAAATAGACACACCAATTGTGTGAGTGAAAGTCTGATTTCTCAAATTTCAGGAAGAATCAGACACCTAGGGAGTGATTTGCATGGATGAGACATTCAACTGAATTTTGTTATCACTTGTCCCAACAGCAGTAAATGGAAGTGTGGGAAGAAGGATGGTTACTTTATTTCTTTGACCTTTAAAACATTTGTAACTGACACACCATTAACTTTCCCTAAATAAATTTTGATGTCTGTTCTCCTGTACCGTACCAAACTTTTGCAGATGAATTGGCATCAACTAAAGGACAATAAGGAGAGTATTTCATAAGGTATTTTAAAGTTAAAGGGCTTAACCCTTTATTATAATTAACGATTAGGAAAAGAACCCCTGTCCAATGACTTCTGAAAGTCAGGGCAAGTTTATCCATTCTTACTGAGTTTAACAAGTGGCAATTGCTTTTATATTAGTAACCTCTGAGTGAAAAGGTATTCAATTTTTTTAAAATTTACTTTGCAGGTATTCATAGAAATTCATGATTTCCAAAAATGTGCCTTTTTAATTTTTTTTGGCATAGTAAAAAAAAATCTGCTGCCCTATTTTACATTTTATCGGGTTTTATTGTGTTACTGGAGCCCCCATTTTCCTCACTCGTCTGAGCTGGTTTAGCTGTCTGTTGATACATTCAGAGTGGAAAATGTTGCATTCTAATTGGGGGCACACAAATCTTGGGAAAGGGAAATCCTAAACTGTTGGTGTCATTTGACAAAGGAAGAGTGCAGAGATGAGAAGCTGATGAAAGACAGCCTGAGCTAATGGAAGTGAAGCTAAATGTGGGAGGAGAGAGGATGAAGGGGTGGGGGATGACATGTGTTCACATTCACAGGGCTTTCCTCCTTCAATCCAGACTCAATGCACTTGTCCAGTCATTACAGAATTCTATCTGCAGCGGCTGGACAGCACAGAACTTTTTAGAGCTGCAAAGAATGGGAGGTGCAGGAGAAGGTCTTTATTCATGGGGGTAGACGGGAGAAGTGTGAAAGGAAGTTGAAATGAGGTAGAAGTTTGTGTTAGTTCCAGCCAAGCCCGCCTATGATCTGTTCTGTACAGTTAAGATTTAATTGAGTCACTTTACAAAAAAATTCTGAGGCAGAGACGACATCATCATTTCAGGAGAAACCCAGCAATTAAAATGACAACACAAATCAAGGATTTCTGACTACACAATTACACATGACTGAAGAGTGTACAATTTCTAATACACACACAGAGACACAGGCATACTATAGACACACAGATGTAATATATATTGTATTCACATAATATAAATTATATATTACATCTATTTATATGCTTTGTATATGCAGTATCTCTCTATTGTGCATATAGATGTGTGTATATATACATCACAGCATCTATCATTATGTGTGTCTGCATGGGTGTGTGCATATATACACCACTATCATAAAAAATATAATGACCACAGTCAGCGTTTTGCTTCAGAAGCAAGAATAGTCAATTGGCACGTGAAGTGTAACCTGCATTTTAAATTCTTTGCAATGAAAATATAACTTCTCTTCTTTCTGATGTTCCTTTTTTGATTGTCCATAAACCACATATCTGTAATTAAATACCCGCTTCCCAGCATTTCAATGGTTAATCACCGCAGTGTTGAGATCATTGCGAGTTAGTGTAAGTTTAACCACATTTCAGCTTTGTTCTTGTTGGTATTATTTCAGCTCACAGCTACAAGGTATTACAAAAAATTTTTTTCCCCCAGGTGTCATTAGCTAGCCCATCTCAGCATTAGGCATTTAAAAGCTGGTTTAACCTTGCAAAATGATTGCATGTCAAAGTTCTGACATTTCAGTTGAGATTATTCTAGTCCAGTGCTTGCTCTGCAGTTTTTTTTTAAAATGCGGAGTATACCACAGCAGAACAAGAAAGAAAAGGTCTCCTAACCCACCCCCCTATTGAAACACACATTCTGCACACACACACAGTCCAGAGAGCAGAGACACACATTTAAGTCCCCGCACAAGTTTGAGGGGCATTAGCCAGGAAAGTGTTTAAAAACAAGCTGAGCCGGTTGCAGTTAAAAGAAAGACAGATAGGAGGGGGTGGGGGGAGAGAAGACATACCAGTTAGAAGATTCTGTTGCAGCAGTAGAGTCACCAGCCTTCTAGCTGAAAGCTGAATCAGCTTTCGAGAGTTAGGGATGCATAGAGGAGGGTCATGGAATCACAAGGTAATAATGCGCTTCATGCTGCAGCCGTCAGCCTTCTCCTTATAGCCAATCTCTAATGCAGGAAGGGAAAAAGAGCAGGCCCAGTAATAGTATTAGTCCTCACTTGGAGAAAAAAAAAAAGATGAGGCACCCCCCCCCCAACAAGCACCACTACAACTCAATCCCTCCTTCTGCATCGCAGGCTTAGTGGGGTGGGAGGAGGGAAGGAAAGGAGGGAGAGCTTTAAAGCTTACAGCGGAGGCGAATAGACGGAGCTAGAGAGAGAGAGAGAGAGCATTGAAGAGCACAGGCAGAATAGAAGGGTGAAGCAGGAGGTAAGGAGAGGCAACCTTTCCTGTTCAGATTGCCGCACACCTTGATGCATAATGGCTGTGTCTGCAGAAGTCTCCCATCACCCGCCCTTCCTCTCACCTCCCCCCCACATATGTCCCTCCAAAGGGTCAGCCTGAGGTAGAGGTCAGGATGCAACCAAGAGCAGTCATGCACAAAAAAAAAAAAAAAAAAAGCGGGGCTGCACAGAGTCGGGGGGGCGGGGGGAAACCTCTGATCAGAAAACGAGTCCACCTTTCCAGTGCTTATATACCCAGCTAAGCATCTGAAACATGCACGCCCAAGCCTGTGGCCCCTTCTCATGCCATTGCCTCCCTGACCATATTTAGTCAACCATGGCAAAAAATAGCCTGTCAGCTGGAGACGGCCGAGCAGGGAGTATTTGGAGTTCAATCCCTTCTCTCAGCCCATTGACTACTAGTCCTGCAGGGGCCTGACTCTGGCTTTTTTTTTTTTTTAACCCTCAGCTATTTTTAGCTCCGCCAAATAGAGAACCCTCTCATCTTACCACTCTCTGCCTGCCCCAAGGTTTCACCAGGCCCAGACTATGTATGGTAAGTGCTGTTGTTGAGAGACAGAGACAGAGACCATGTTCATTCCGGAAGACCTTTGTCTCCCCTCAGGGCTTTTGGTTGCTGTTGTTTTTTGGTTGGGGGGGGAAGGGAGGATGAGGTCAGTGTGGGACGGATTACCTATCTTCCCTTTGCTCCCTTTTTCCCTGCCTGGTGGAAACATACCTGGAAGAGGCGGCAGGGGAAAGAAGTGGAAAGGCTATTGATTCTTACCTTAAAGAGAGAAGAGCTGTGATTCAGAAGCACTGTGTTGTGCCAGACTGGGAGATCCCAGGCACTACACCAGCTAACTGCATCTCTAGTCTGAAACTTTCCAAGCTGCCTGTCCCCGAGGAGCATGCGCTCTCTGCTCCTTGTGTTGGCGAATGCAAATAAGCCCAACTTTAAGCCATGAAAAGTCACCCCCCCGATGGGTGCCCTGTGAATGCATGTAATAACTGAACACACGGGTATCTCTTGGGGGTTTGTTCATGCTAGTTTTGGGCCCCAATGAAAAATCTTCACCCTCGTTAATTAAAAGTGAGGTACTTACACAAAATGTGAGCATGTTACATTCACTTGTGCTCTTGAAGTGAGGGAAGAAAGTGGGTATCCTTAGATTTCAGGGACTCTTACAAGGTCTAGCTTTAAAACAAAGTTGAGTGTGAGGATAACACCTGGTCACCTTGGGGAGAAAACATAAATAACGATAAATGTGACTCTACTTGTTCTTAATGAATCTGACTTGTTTGCTTGCAAGCAAGGCCCCAGATCTGGGCTTCTCATTCATCTAATGATCCTTCTCCTCCCTCCCCCATGCACAATTACATTTCACTTAGCAGTTCTGTATAATTCAATCTCGGCCATAAAGAACATGCTACTTCTTCACACCCGAAATGGATCATAAAGGCTCCTATGGGATCACTCTTCTTGTGTGATTTGGAATTGAATGTGATAGCATCTCATAGGAATCCAACCCTGATGGGAGTGTGTGGGCAGATTCCAAAAACCATCCGTGCAAAAGT